CCACCACTCCACTATTTCTTTACTACCTGCAGCCGCTGAGGGTTCCGAAATAACCACTCGCTTTGAAAGCCGGCCCTGTTAAATATGAGCAAGAAATGTTTAGAAGATGATTTATTGCCAACCGGTAAGCTTAGTGCGAACCACACAAAGGGGGTATTTATTTGCGGTCAACTAATTTTATGATGGCCGTATAACCTTATAGCTCTTGGTTCACTATATTTTATTTTTTGTAGGAAGGAAAATAAATTATCATTATATTTCTATGAAATGTGTTTCGCCCCGTCTGACATCACTATAGAAAATGATATAATTAAGTTAAATGACTAATTCACTGCTTCAATAGCATGTTTGCGCAAAACAGTTTCTTATACAGTTTTCCTTATGCTTACACTTATAATTTATAATTATAGTTATAAGTATAATTGTAGCAGTTATGCTGACGGCTTAGGACCTTACATTGGCAAGCAGAACTGACTTTCTGGCACGTAAATTGATTAATTTTGCACATGAATTATTTAGAAATTTGGGCGACTTGTGGCAATACAGAAGATGTTCAGAACTACTCAGTGTATCAGTTAATACAAAAAGAGTTTCTTTTTCAGTTGCGACATAATTAGAGTTCTAAATGACACTGATTGACATTGTAAAAAAAATCTATTGTTGTCAATATAAGATGTAACGATTATGAGTGTTATAATCATAAGACATAAGTTATAAGGATAAGTGTAAGCATAAGGAAAAATTTATAAGAAAATGATTTGCGCAAACACGCTAATAAATAAGTTATGTTTATGAAATTTAGGCGAAATGAGATTTTTTAACCTGAAAATCGCGTATTATGTCATTATTTGGTGCCTTTTACAGAGTTATGTCTGTATGAAGAAAGAAATAAATAATAAATATTAATATTATGTTAATCACACCATTTATTATTAGGTAACCATCAAAAGTTAAATATGTATCTATCAACTAAGTATTTGTATTCAAACCAATCTTATTAAGTTCAACATTAAAAACAGCATTTTCATTTCAACTGATTTTTCACCACACTGTGAACATATACAAATAAATATGTAGATCGATTTTACTGAATACAACTATAAAAATTCAATTTTTGTATCAAGAACTTCATCTTTTGTGTTGACAATGTTTTATGTTGGATTTTGCAAAGCAAGTGTATATTTTTCACGTGGTCTATACATTTCTTACGTCAAGAGCGCTTCTTTCAGGGGCCGCCACACCAATTTGTAGAGTTATTATTATTATTGATAATATTGTTACAAACTTCCATATCTTTTGTTACAGCAAGTGTTAGACTAAGAGATATGTTTAATATTTTTTAGTATTCACAATGTACGTTTCGTTTTTGATATAGCACTATTTTAATGACATCTGATTAGAATCGCTAGAAATTACTAGACGTGCGGCTACAAATAATATTCGTATTTTACACACTGCTCGTTTTATTTATTGTCAGCACTTGGTTTTTGTTTCATTATTCTGGTTTAGTCATCAATCATCATACTGCATCTGCTTCCTTTAAAAAAATGTGTATACCTACTCGTATTTCAACAAAAATATCATTTCACGCTGTTATCTAAAACATGTTTTTTTTTAATTTTTTTATATGTGAAATACCTTCGCTATCACGTTATCAGTTTTATAATGATTAACGTACCTAAAATGACTAAAATGAATAAAATGTGCATGGCTCTCTTGTGTAATATCGAGTGTAATATGATAAAAAATTTCATGCGAAATATGTTACACTTGTATAATTAAGTAACTCTTTTAATAAGTCAACCTGTGGAACTGTACCCGAATACCTGCTGCCTCAAATTTGAATTAATAGGTAACTCGCGTAGAGTACAATCTAATGGAAAATGGTAAAACGTATCTTAGGAACAAGACTGAACAAAAGTTCGAAGTTCGAAAATTGTTTAAAGATGTAATCTTCAAAACTACGTATCCATTTATTTGAAAACTTAAATAAATAACATCATAATAATCGGGATTTAGTTCTGTCCCTGTTTTAAACTCTACGCATATTGGTTGTCTTAAAAAAGTAAAATTTGTGCAAAGAAATTTTACAATTTATCCAAAAAACTACGTAACAGAAGTTTTTGAAATTATGGTGGGGCACAAATAGTGATTTAATGATTATATAAAGCTAACTAAAATTTATTTATCCTTTCCGTACACTTCCTAAAGTCGTTCTCGAAAAATAGGTATATTAAATAAATACGTATCAGAAAATATGTTTATGTTAAGCACATGACTATGTGGTCATGTGCTTATTTTTTTGCACTTTTTGAATTACGCCTTGATATACCTTATTTGTTATGATTGAGAACCTTATTTTCTAGAAAATGTGAGAATACCTACGTTTTTATTTAATTATGATCAAATAAGAATAATAAAAATCATACTCAAAACATTTTGTTTCATTGTGGTTTAATTAATAATTTTAGTCTTCTGTTTTAAGGAAATTTTGTTCAAATTAAACAAATTTATACTATGTATAAACACAAATTCTTTCGATGTATAAACATAAACAAACGAAGTTAATCTAATCATGTACACTGATAATAATACACTCTTTTCCGTTGGTTATTTGCTTTGAATACATTTCATATTGCCTGTATATCCGCGGACGGCACCTACTTGGAATTTGTGCCTCCGCAGCGCAGGGGGTTCGAGGTGTCATTTACACCACTGGTTTTTACTATATAAATGTTATCACAACACAAATTTTCTATAATAATTTTTCAAAGAAGCCAAATTTGTTGGATTGTACTTCAAGGGCGAGGGAAGTTCTGTCGAAGTAAGCTTGGACCACCAATTTTTTGACATATCGTGTTAATGCAAATGCAGGCATACGTTTTAGTGACAAAAGATGATCAACAAGTAACTATTTAGGTTTTCTGTCAATTATTTATGTTTATTCTTTTGTACTTAATATATGTATATCATTACAACAAACTTCTCTTCACTCAAAGGTAATTATTTTAGGTGTGCTTATATGTCTCCAGAAATAGTGTAATTAATATGTGTTGCATATGTATATATAAATAATTAATTACTTTCTTCTACAATGTCGGTTTGCTTTTTTACTCATATTATTACCATTTATAAATTTAGCAAAAAGATGTTTTTTTTTTCCTAAAACAAATCGATAACATCATGTTTTTAGTTTATAGATTGGAAAAAATTATCTTATATTGAAACTGTATGGCTACATCGGGATTAAGTCGATGTGTTTAATTATAATTTTCTCTAACCAAATTTAGCAAGAATAAATGCTTTTAGTTAAGTATTACATATCTAAATTATTTACTTTAAAATTAAGTACATAGTATATTCATTCATATCTTTCATATCACATCTAGAATCTGTCAGAAATGAGTAATACTGTTCTAATCCATTTCGCAATGTGAACTTCCATGATTCAAGCTGATCATCTCCTCCGGGTAAGAAAACAAAAATTTGTTGTTATCTTTATTAAAATATGGGATCGCTTAATGTAGGTGATGTATGTAGGTATAATAATTATAAATTTATCTTGTAGATGTTATCTAAACTTCTTAATTTATTTATCTATTTTCGGCGATGATGTAAGTGTTATAAAATGTTTCGGCTCATCTTCTTTATGAGGTATTTTAAGAATTTGGCGCATATTATTTGATAAGCTGGTAACCCGACACGTAGGTATTACTTAGTTTCTAACAAGTCTCGTGGAATTTGTTACATATGCTCCTCTACCAACTGAGAAATTTAGTTTTTACTTCCCGAGCGTAAGCTAAGGAAGTCCGTACTATAATCGAGTCCATCGGGCGACTGGTTGTTTTCCGAGGAGGGTAGAATAATTAAATTAAATTATTCTACCCTCCTCGTTGTTTTCATATTTTCTCGATGCGTCGTGACCATTATAGTACCAAAACATGGGTTTCCCGTTTTCGTCTGTAACGATTTTTGTTAGACAGATAATCTCCGAAACTACTGGACCGATTGTTGTCAAATTTTATACATATGTGTATTATAAAGATCATGTAGATCGTAAAAAGCAACTTTGTCTAATCATCCCTAGCAATAATGTGATGCCGTCACCTCAAAATTGTACATAGTAAATGGGTTTTAAATTTTTATAAAATAACATAGTTCTACACGTGTAGGTTATGAGTCCGTGTTGAGTTTTTACCAGAAACGTCCAGATTTTTGGAAAAAAAATTTAAATTATTTACAATTTAATTTTTAATCTGCAAAAGCAAATGCTTTGAAATCGTGCAGATGTTTTAGTTATCATACGCATATGTAGATTTAAAAAAAAATCAAAATTGTGCAATATAACTTTGAAATTGTAAAAACTGATTGTGCGGAAATTTTGCACACATTATAAAGTTATCGTGAAAATGATGTTATTATGTTAATCTTACTTGAAATTTATATTTGCGATTTAGTAACATGCATGTAAGTACGAGTATGTGCGACTCATCGTAAAAAATATCAAATTTTTAAAAACAAATTTTACAGTGTCGTAAAATCTATGAAAAAACATTTTTTGAAATTTCGACAAATTAATTATTATCAGCGTTGATTCTTAATTATATCCGCTATAGGAAATTAATGAATTTTAGGCCGACTTCTGACCTACTTAAGCAGAATCTGTGGGTGGACAAAGGATGAATAAAGAAGAACGAACAAGCCCTTCCTTCCCTAGAGGTTGTAAAAACTGAAAATTTAAGACAAATTTGCAGGTGGATTTGCTAAACAAAATTAAAATTTTAAAACTCATATGCCACATAAAAACTATTCTCTTATAAATGGTCTTCTTCGAGAATCAACTAATTTTAATCAAATTTACAGCACTACCCTCTATTCTAATAATATATATTAAGATTTCTACGCAGACAACCACTTATGTACTTGCCGAACAGTGAATTAGTTTTGTTGAGTATATGGGTACTAATTTATTATTTTAGAAAGTCAAAAATAAGTCTTACTTTCACAAGCTCTGACATGATTCATCACTGAAGGGGTGTAGGTGTAATCCGGACTAGTGGAACTCATAACATCCGTTGAGGATATATTTTCATCATTTATAGACGAATACGAAAAAGCTGCTTTTTCTGTTATCCTATCATAAAAAGCATTTTCAGGGCCAGTGTTAGTCATAGATAGTGACGAAATACTGAAGTAACTTTGTGATGAAGCTTCAGGATCTTCGTAAAATTCACTGTTATCATCCTCCAGATTTTTATTTTCATCATCTGTGACTCTTAAATCTGACAGATCCGTAGTTGGAAGAGTATTTTCGATAATTGAATCCTGTTGTGTGGTTTTTTGCAGGGAGCTGCTGAAATCGTTGGTAGTATCCGACACTTTAGAGCTACCAACGTCATTGGCTATTGAGAATTCTTTGAAATACATATCATTGATATCTGTAGAAGTTCCACTTTCACTGATAACATTATTTTGCTCTAACAATATGTCACTATTTTCATCTTTTAGAAGTTTGTCGTTACTTTTATTACTAGTTTTGCTGTCTACATCTTTCGTAACGTTTGAAAACTTATCTTCATCTCTTGTTACGGGATAAACTTTTGTTGTAGGCCGGTAATCTTCATTTGTGTAACTTGTTAAATTACTTCCGGTCGACACACTGAACTCATTTTGAGGGCTAATTTCAGCAAAAACAATATGTATCAAAATCACTATAAACCACAACACGACGTTCATGTTCACTTTGTCACATCAGCGAATTGGCTTATTCTGCACTGTTAAACAGGAAGCTTTTTATCAAATCGCCGGTTCAGCACCACACGTATGAGTAATGACTAAATTTCAATTTTACCATTTTTTTTTGCTAAACACTTGAATAAAATTACGTATTGGTACTCGAATGTATGGGTTTATAGATATAACGAGATTGCTGTTAATAAACAACAATGCGAGATTAACAATATAAAGCAACTAAAAGCCCAATCTCTAGGCTTACTGAAACTGATACGTTATCTTTTGTTATCAGGTTTTGTTCGCAACGAAATAATACTGAATTTTGTAGCTTCATTATTATTTTTTCGATGTAAAGCACCCACTAACAGCGTCTAATACTCTCTGTATAAGGCACTGTTCGGACGATAAGCCCCCATGGAGATACGTGCACGCTATTTATAGAAATAACGTATAATTTGTTTTTCGTCTTTCCTTGGGCTTTTCGGAATATATTTTTCTTTTGTTATCACTTGTTTGCCATGTGTAAACCAAACGAATCATTTAACAAACAATTAAATTTCGGTAAATATAAATTTGTCAATTGTTTTATTACAGTAATGAGACACGTACTCCAGAAACAGATTATTATGGCCTTATTTCCACAATTAGATTACTTGATATCGCATACTAAATGATTGATGATTTATAAGAGGATTTATCCACTTTCCACTTCCACTAATTTTTAAAAAGCAACCTCGTGATGACATTTCGAAATGGGCCAAACAAAAACAATGCATTCAACTCAAAAAATGAGTTATAATAATAAACATTTTGTTATCAGATAATGTTTGCCCTAATAATGATGCAAAAACTAAGTTGCAATTTTTTTACGTCATTATTAATAATTCATTCAACATGTTTTATAAACGACGTCATCAACTTTTTGTTAGGAGTAAATTGAACAATTGGGATAATTAAGTATAATGCAACGGTAACCAGAACATTACCGTCTTGTCAGAATTTTAGGCACATTAGCTGAATTGTTACTGAGATTAAATATAGATACAATTATTCTGTTTACACTTTCTGTATTTATATAAAAATCACAGCATATTACTCAAGCATATAACCACTTCTGCATCTCAGTTTTCGTATATAACGTTCTGTAATTTCCAAGATAAATTGTAAATAGTAATTTACGCAACTAGTTCGGGATAGCCTGCTTCCCGCATGAACGCTTGTTTGAGGCACGACCGAAGGGAGTGCCGCATTTGCGTGAATGCGGGAAGCAGGCTCACGAACGTGTTGTGTACAATATTTTTTGCGACGAATAAACCTTTAAACTGAAGAGATTAACTGTGAGTTATTTATAAACAACGCCATTGACAGCGCCGTCAACACGTCACAATGTTGACACTACCCGAGTATTTTAAGGTTTCCTTGGCAACGGGAAGTTAAATGCACGTGTGCGGGAAGTTCGACCTCCCGCACTCTGGTGAATGCGCGAAAGCTATCAAAAAAGGTCATGAGTGCAAAAACTATCTTCCCTTCTCTCATTCTATCTCCATGGTTTAGACCAATTTTTTTACAATGCGAATTTTTGGTACGTACTGTGCGTAACTCTAATATTATTTAGTATTTGAAATTGTGTTGCATAGCATTTTATTTTCAAATTCAGAATATAATTTTCACTGACTAGCATGGGTTTGTAAAAGGGAAATCTACCACAATTAATCTAGGTAGTATTTATCGCAGATATTACATGGAAATGGATAGGATGATGTAGGATATTTGGACATTCAAAAGACTTTTGATATTAGGGATCATAATATTTGATTATAAAAATTAAGATGCATGTATTTATGTGATATATTGATTTTGATCATGGTACAAGAAGACATGGTATGCTACTCCGGTGGATGAATTTTCGTCTGCTTTGCGGAACAGCCACGTGATGTCACATTGACTTGAAAACCGTGCTTGAAACGCTCTTCTGATAATTTCGAAAGCTGTGAAATGTCAATTTATCAGTGATATGTGAGGGTATAACGGAGGTTAAGATTCGGATCAGTTTCTAATCATGGGTTAACTTATTGTGACGGGCTTGGGAGATTTTCAAAATTAACTTTTGTTAATTTATTATATATAAAACTGTAAAACTCTTGTCGTGGACCTTGTGCCCGACATATAGTGAAAATATTATTTATGTGTTCGTAGGCTGGTTCGTGATGATGGTAACACATTCTAGTGACTGGACAAAGGGACTACTTCAAGTATATGCATTTTGCTTAAATGAATAATTATATTTAATTTAGAAATGAGTATGTACAAAAGAGATTTAGTCATATGAGAATAATTTGGAATAACAATAAATTGTAGTGTAGTTTAATATGCAAATATAATTATCAGAAAATGAACTTCAGTATTAAAACATTTTTAAATAAATTCAAGAAAACTTTATAACTTTGAAACTAAATCTTTGAAAGCATAATAAAACAAACATTTAAAAAAATCTAAAACAAAAATATAACAAAACTCAAAATTGGTACCATAACTCAAAATTTGGTAACATAACTCAAAATTTGGTAACAACTCAAACATTTGTAACAACTCAAAAATTTGGTAAGGAACATTATAGTAGTTGCGTGGTCAGCGTTCATCAAACAATATAACTGTTTAACTAATAATTTCAATGCAAATTAATCTTTAAAAATAGATCTAAATCTCAAAACGTTATCCAATTGAGAATACAAAGGGCGATTTATCATCAAAATTAAATTGAACTTTAAAAATATTAATAAAAACAAAACTTTGAACTTTTTATGAAATCGTGCACATTTTTGGAGATGTCAACACTTACCCCCTTGTGTCACAACACAAACACACACTAACAGGCAACTGGCTAGAGGACTCTGGTCTTTTTTGGATCTTTCGATCTTTTATAAGTAAAGACCCCTCCAAAGGAGTTGTTTTCGCAAAATTGCTTACAAGTTACCAGTTTATTTGGGGAGTCGTAAAAGTATTTGTGTTTCCACCAAATTAGGCTTAATTAACTGTAATATGAAGATTTTTAGTAGCAAAATGTGCTTTTTGTTAAAATTAACAAATTTAAACCATGAAATTATAAAACTGGACAAAGACATCGTGTCCAGCCAAACGGCGCCAATATTTAACTGTGAAATTATAAACCTTGATTAGAATGGTGTGAAATCATAAAATCCAAGTTTCACAAGGACAACCTTGATTTTTACGACAATGACGATTGTTCTGATTCATACCAACATCTCCAAAAATAAGTAAATTTATCGCCCGTTACATCTCCTCCCTGCTAGGGAAGCAAATGCTATGCTTTAATTAGCATACATTTGATTTCTGACCAGGCAACTTCCTTACCTAAAATTCCTAACTACTATAATCTTTCTTCTATCCGTCTTGAAACATGGATGGAAAGGCGTCTTCACATAGGGAATGTAGATTCGACCATATCGAGGGAGGATTCCAATTTTCATGTTTGCCAGCACAATCGAGTCGTGTCACCAAGGACTCCTGTTCATTAACTGTCTAGATTGAGATAATTTTGCAGTAACCTCAATCGATTCTCAAAATTCTTAAAAGTTGATGGTCCTTCAGCTAAGTTTTTTTTTGTTTCGGACTTCAAGCTCGCTGGCATGTGGTCCTTCGGATAACATCATTCCCATGCTCAAGAGTTGATTCTTGACTTTACGCACTCGATAATATGTCGATCTATCACACTCATTCCCAATGTGTGTTAGTAAAAGCCTTATACTAAAATCAAAATCCTAATATCTATGTTAGTGAGAGTCCTCTTTTAAAAAAAAAGATTAATAATTGAAAAGTTATACTATGCCAGTAGGGGCAAGTGTTTTAATCTCCGTGATATGCAGTAATAAGATATATATATTTACGCCTCTTTGTAGTCAGTATCACCACTTCGTTTTTGGATGGTTCCTAAAAATAATAAGACCACGTAACTACTATCTTGGATTAAAAGTAATTATAGAGTTCTAAACTTGCCAAATCTGTATTTGATACGTTTAACTTAGAACTTTCTTTATATATGTTTATGTAATACCCACGGATACTCTTTGAGCTTGTCCTTTGCTCCTTGTATGATAAGCATGACGCGGTGGACTACGCACGATAGATGAGGTTGGTTCATTTAACTCCTCTATTTCAGAGTCTAAGCTGTCTGAACTCATATCAGAAGTTTCTGATTCAGCAGAACTTATTTCTTTTTGAATATCATTTTCTTGTTTGATTTTTACATTTTGTTCGTCGCTTATAACGATGTCATCTAATGAGACATATAACGGGTCTTTTAATTCTAGATTTTCACCATTTTCTGTGGATACCGTTAGTGTATTTGGATTTGCAGTTTCGTATAGTTGATTTACATCAATTGGCCCTTCGATCCAATCAAGTTCTTCTTGATCATCACTTTCATCAGAATAATCCAGTTTTAATTGAATATCTTCAGTTTCTTCATTCTCTAGTTGGTCATCAGATTCTGCTGCTCTTATTTTCCAAGGTTTTAATCTCGCTGCATGAACTAATTGTTCATTAGCAGAACCAATTGCGATGATTCCATAATTTACTGGTCCAGTTCTTGAAACAATTCTGTAGGGTCCAGTCCATTTTGGCACAAATTTTGTAGCTAATTTCTTTCCTTTTATCAGTGCTGAAACTAGCTATAGGCCGAGTAGGCCCTTGCCTAGGGGCGCCAACGACAAGGGGCGCCAAATTCGTCCAAAAATTATGTTGTATAGTTTTGGAAATTTCATTGTACCCTGTAAAATTTTATTGGCAATAACGAGACGGACAGTAGAACAATAGCAAGAGATATTTACAACTTAAGTTGTCGCGTGCCGGTAATCCCCAGATGATAGTAACCAGAATAATCCAGGTCCGGGCAGGGACCATCGTTACTTATGAACGGAAATGATCATTATTTTATGAGTACAACTACCTGCTAAATGATCTCAGACAAATTCGAGTGAACTGGTGTGAGCCATAAATATTTCTTACCATTGTACTACTGTCCGTCTTGTTATCGTCAATAAAATTTTATATGGTAGAATGAAATTTCCAAAACTATACTAAGAATTATGTCATATTAATCTTTTTTTTTATTTTGAACGGAAGCTCAGAAACATGTAACCGGTGCGACAGGTTTTTGAATGTTTATTTTATTTTGAACTTACATAGTATCTGTTTTGCATACTTAAAAAATATAAATAAAACTCTTCTGTAAAATTGCATTTTTATGTGTAGGGGAGGGGCGCATAACGCAAGGTTCGCCTATACCTAAATATTTTTTGGTTTCGGCACTGCCTTTTATAGATGGTGTATA